AGATCCAAGCGTATTGTGCGATATCCCCGATCGGTAATCCATAGAAGACCATAGCGACGTCGTCTTCTCATACGTCAAACATGTACTATCAAATTATCTAGACCGACATCGGGTACTTCCGCTAGTAGTTTATAACTGTGAAAAAAGAATCAGCGAAATCGGATCGGAGGCAGTACAGGAAGGTCGATATTAGCTACAAATGATTTTTATGCATAGTGATCGCGGTGAAAAAGCATGGCTGACTGAATTTACCTCGATGGAATTTCTTTTCTCATTACGAATCAACTTCGAAACGAAGAAAACAGAAATTCTTGAGATAGAATATCTTCTGCTGAAAACCGCACTCTTAAAAATTAATATATGATCAATGTCCTGAAGGTTTCAAGCAAATGGGTCTACTAAAATCGAAAAATTATTCTATGGCGCGTGAAAGAGTTTCCTTTAAAAAGAAGGATAAAAACCGGTTTTGGACCAAAATTCTGAACCTACAAGAAAATTTGCCGTTTTATTTAAACATCTTTTCTCGATTTTCAAAAGATCCTTCATTGTATCAAAAATATTTCAGTTTCTGGATGAAACAAAATGTATGAAACGAATTTTAAAAATCAATCTGAACTCTGCTCAATAAAAACTTTCTGCAAACTTGCTTTTTGAAAATTTTTTATTTTCTCAAAAACTAAAGTAAAAATCAACTATCGGAGCTCTTGCAACCCGTGAGACCTAGTATCACTACCGTTTAAAAAGGATCTAAGGCTTTAGGGCTCAAGGTAGCATTGATGTCTTGCGATTGCAAACCAAGTCTGCAACACAATTTCGGGTAGGGTCGTAGCTCTACTACAACGCCAGCTCCGGTTTCTTTCTCTCTTGTTCTTTGAGGTAGCAAATATAGATCTAGTTGATCATGATGCTTAGTTTGAAAACGACTGGCTTTTTTGCCGATTCGAGCCGATATTCTCAAAAACGAAATTTTCGACTGTTTCTCAAGAATACTTTGTGGAATTGAAAACAAAATCATAAGGAACTTCATATGCTGTTTTTGCTGTCGACATACAACAGGTTTACCACTGACTACTCTGAAAAATAATGAGTACCTTTTGTCGAATAGCGACCTATTTTCTTCATTTGCATTGCTACTTAAACAGTCGCTCTTTTTTTATAACTTTTCAAAAATTTCTAGTTTCGTAACTCAGCCTCACCTAATCTCAGTGCTAGCTACGTCACTATTCGCGCACAAATCGAACATTGTTTTGTCTATACTTTTCCTAGTAAGAGAAAGTTATTCTCTCGGAGTAGGCGTCACACTTTACCTTTACTTGACTTCTTGTAACTAGTAACGAACTTAGTTACTCGCTACTAGTAAAGAAGTAACTAATCTAGTTATTTCGTTGCCAGTAACGAGTAACTAAGTTCGTTACTTCTTTACCAGTAAAGTAACGGTTTTTCGTTACTTTTTGAAGGAGTAACGAAATTTGTTACTCGTTACTAGTAACTAAGTAACTAACTTCGTTACTTTACCTGATAAAGTAACACCGAGTAACTAGTAAAGTGCCAGCCTTATCTCGAAGTTAGCAACGTCTTTTTTCCTAAAGGTTAGCTTAACTTACTAGGAAAGAAGAAAACTGATAACATCAAAATACAACTGAAAAGTTCTCGCCGTTTAGATTTTTTAACTAAATAGAAAGAAATAACATCTCAAAATGTAATTCGTCTGATATAGATAAACCTCTTCTTTTCCCGAGGAAGTCTACTAAGTAGTTTCTCATTCAAATAAATAAATACTTTTCGACCCTATATTCCACCCATTGTTTTCAGTATGTTGTCCATTACCACAGTCGATAATATCCAGTTATAAATATAAACTGATTTAGCAATTGCTGCACCTTGTGTCGTACCCCATTCTTCATCGTCATGTGCCACACAATGAAATGCTGTTGGTGCTATCATTATTGGATTATCATACACATGACTAATAAACGATAGAATTAAGGCAATAAATGTTTTTAAACGCACAAATGCATCAATACCCGAATATTGTTGTTTGTAATGATATTTGACTGACATCGGTTAACACTTTTGATATAATTCTAAAATGTCGATTAAAATATTCTCGACAAGCCTGATATGTACAACCATAACCAGCTTGATATTTAAAATAATTAAAACGATGTGATGGTAACAACTTTTTAGCCAGTAGTTCAAAATCATCAAGGGATTGACATTGTAAGTAACCGCTTGTCTATGGAACAAAGACAATTCGAAAGAGATAAGTAATCTTTTAATATGTACCACGTACTCTTTCTTCACGTTCAAATCGTTTTTTCCTGTAATACTTAATAACAAAATACAGACTAACGGTGCCAATCGTTAATAGATAAATATTATGGGCTGAATATGGATAAGAATAATAAATAGCGAATGTGATAGTTAGCAATGGTTATACTTGATCCTTATCAATCTTTATCTTACTCAGTAAAAGTAAGTCAGTTTATTGCCATTTACTGGTAAGCAGCAGATAATTTTTTTCACACTTACTATTTATCCGGTAAAGTTCATGACACGGCTGTTCTACGAACGACTCTTCCGCGAATTTTTTATGATACGAATTTAGAAATTTTTTCAGGGCAGACACACTTGCAAAGCTATTTAGCAGTATATAATAGGTAGGGGTGTGTGTCTGAGAACAGTGTGAGAGTGAGTTCGAAAAGTAATTTAATGCAGAAGATATATGAACGTAGTATGAAACTGGTTAGATTACTTCGAGGTGAACTGATATTAAAATTGTAAAAAAGGGCATGTTCACCTTAACATGCATATGTTATTTTAGTGTTTGGAAGATAAGGAGAACTTGAAAGTTTAGTTTCTTAATAGCTATTTTAAAAAAATTCACGAAGTAGTCGATGAATCGGTAGAGTGAAATAAAGTAATATCTCTAGCTAATTGTTATACGCTTACCTTGACTTAGTATTGGAGGCATGTTCAGCTAAACAAAAATTACGAATCGTTCTTGTTATAGATAAACTAAATCAGAAATTTGCGCGGTACAATTATGCCTTATGAAGAAAGATTTTGGTTATTTTTTAGTGTTTCTGAAAGATTCGTTTTCCAGACAACTGGGGTTATGAGGAATCCCCATGGTCATATTCAGAATCAGCATGATCGATAATCTATAACCCATTATATTTCGATCAAAAAAGCGTTTTATCAGTTGGGGATGTTCCCCTCATTAGTTCACTATTGACCTTGTAGAAAATTTCACTTCTGTCAAAGATAAAGCTTTAGTTTTATAAAAACATAGTTATGTCTGAGCACATTCAACTGATTATTTGATTTTTATTTCATTCATTTAAATCATAGCAAAAATACTTTTAGGAGATAAAAAACATCGATGGTTAATATTAATTCTATACCCGAATTGTTTTTTTCTTCTCTCAGATTCAATCAAAAAGTGTGTATCCGCTCATATAAAAGCAATATTTATGAGATGTGATAATTACATGATTCAACGTCGTATAGTTCAAACTATTGAATGAGAAATTCATTCATGTGAACAAATTATTGTGTCACCGACTGATACTTTTTTTCTACATACTTAAGAAAGTAAATGAGTTTTTATTGTTCATTGATTCGTAGATATTCTTGCTGTGTTGTTGTAAAGTCGATACCTGGACGTATCAAAGATAATTATTTTTCAACGTTTTATAATATAAATGTATCATCTTGAATTTACAACTCTTTATTGACTTCCTCACTACCATTGTAGAGGATGTTATAGCTGAACGGTTTAAAAATTCTCTCGCACTCGATTTCATCCTGATTATTCAAAGATATTTCATCAAAATGAATTATATCGACAACGTGTCGCGATTTTCGTATTTTTCTTTCATTTATTTTCATCTCAAGTTCATCTCATTTACTAAAAAAAAACACGCATCTTTTCTCAGCGTAATTATCTAATTTCAAAATACACAAGTTTCAACATAAAATGACCACCATACAATATCAAAAATAAAAATAAATAACATTTTCTACTTTTTAACTACTCTTTTTTTCTTTCGATTGACTTTACTATCATCATCATCATCAACATCATCATTTTCTTTTAATTCATTTAATTTACGTTTTTTTTTATCTAATACATCTTGATTATCGTCAGTTTTTTGAAATTTCATTAAACGATTTCGTTCATCTTTATCTAATTTTTCTAATGCATATCTTAAACCTTCACGAATTAAATGATGATAATTTTTTTCAATATAATCTATTGTTCGTTCTCTATAATTAATTGTTAATTCTCTTAATAACCATCCAACACCTAATTGAACAAATCGATATTTATTTAAAATACAATGATCAATAATTGAATAAATATTATCAATATATTTTATTTTTGAATTTTTTGTTAATATAAGACAACTTACACAACTTGAACGTTGTATCCATGGTATTTGATTTAAATATTTCCATTGTTCAATAAATTTTATACATTCATCTGGATAAATTAATATTAATTTTTTATTTATATGACTACTTAATAAATCAACAGTTGCCCAATCATGTAAAAAATCTAATTCAAATAATTTTTGTATATTTTTTAATATAAATAATGGATGAATTGTATTTTTTTCATCATTAATTGAAATATATTTTATTTTACAATATAATGATATAAGTTGTATACCACTTACTTTTTCTTCACCATAATCAGATTTTAATAATTCAAAACCTAATTGTAATTTATTTATTAATGATAATTCAATTAATTTTTCATTATGAAATTGAAGAAAATATTTTCGACTATCACCAGTTGATAAACCATGAAATTTTAATATATTTTTAAGATATGCCGTTTGATTTTGACTACGTTTTTTATTACCCAATAATTGAAATTGTCGATGAATTAATTCAATATATGGAAATGGATTAAATTTTTTATTTGACATTGTTTTTATTGAACAAAAACAAAATAAAATATCTAGAAAAAAAGAATATCTGATAGAGAGAGATATTATTATACTAAAAAAATGCAACAAGATTACTCGAGAGTACAAGTGCCCTTCGAGAAGATTAATAAGATGTCGACTGAGTGGAACAGGAAACAGACGAAATTAGAAGATCAAGAAAGTCATAACAGTTTGACCTGTTTTCAAGAAGAATGTCCATTGCCATATCAACTCATTCATTATCGTATCATAAATTCTATTATAGTATAGCTTTTACAATATCCAGCACTGTAGCATACACTAGTCAACATTCACGAGGGAACATTCCCAACTAACAAATGGCCTTTTGATCGAAAACTATTGGATTATAGGTTATCCAGCATGCTGATACCGAATATGACCATGAGGGTTCTCCAAAACCCTTTGAAAATCCGGTTTTCTGGGAAACCAGTTTTTTAGAAACTTTAAAAAGTAGCCAAAATCTTTCTTACTGAGCCATGATTGTAGTACGCAAATTTCTGATTAAAATGAGACATCTCCCAGCTCGACACGAACTTTCTTTGCAAAGTTATAGAATTTACAAAAAAAAGCCCTAAATTAACTTCTTCCTTCTTATTTCTGTAGCTTTGAGCTGACAATGAACATTTAGTACTTTTCTGGTGAATTCTATAGCTTTTCAAAGATAGATCGTGTAGAGCTGGGAGATGTCTCATTTTAATCAGAAAATTGCGAGCGACCATCATGTCTCATTAATTTCATTCGGATTTAACTTATCTTTCTTTTGATTTAAAAACTTTATTTCTGGAAATACTTCTAACATGTCAAGAAATCAAGATTATTGTCAAAGCTGTTATCCACTATATCATTCAGTCAGAATCGTTTTTGATGTGAATGACTGATAAAACACTTCTTCTTCCTTATTGATCACATCGCTGCAATCTAGAGCACAACATACACTTCCAGCTTTACTTCTTACTAATAACAGCTTTCAAAATATGATCACAGACTCAAAGACATTTGTCTATTACTGTGAACAAAATGGCTCATTAAGAAAGATTTTGCGTATTTTTTAGAGTTTCTGAAAGACTGGTTTTCCAGGCAACCAGGTCTTCGAAGAGCTATGAGGAATCTCGATGGTCGACTCAGAATCAGTATGGTTGATAACCTATAACCCACTAAATTTCGATCAAAAAGCAATTTATCTTATTTACGGATGCTCCCTCATCAGATGTATCCAGTCAGTCATAGTCATTCCAGAAAAGCGCATGAAACTCTGTTTACAAAAAATTTTACGCCTTTAGCGACTTTCGAATAATAACGCTCAAGAAGCTGCGAGTGTGTAAAAATAAACTGCAGGAACACGCGTGTAAAGCGTCTTTGTTTCCATCGCAACGTGCGTTTCCTTCGGTTTATTTTTATACACTCGCAGCTTCTTGTCCGTTATTATTCGAAACTCGCTAAACGCGTAAAATTTTTTTGTAAACAGAGTCTCCTGTGCTTTTCTGGAATGACTATGACAGCGCAAAAGCAACAAAAATATATTTCCAATTTTATCTGTACGAGCAGACATAAAGGATAACGAGTGTGTGACTCGAAGCAGTAAGTAATTGTAGAGAAAGAAGAACACATGAGTAAAAGTGAAAAGCAATAATCCTACTTTCAGTCGTTTCATCCAGTCAGTTTAATAATCGAGAACGAGTGACCGGAAAGTAAGGAGAATTTTACCAGGCAACGCCGCGATGGAAAGTAATAAAGTGTCCTAATCGTTTCACTTAATCGAAACAATGACGCTCTTATAGTAATCTAACCATGTAACAAAAATACGAAACATTTCCGCAGTACACAGTAATTTTATGATAGGAGGATTAATATGGCTAGTCCATTTCATTGTAGTAAAAACTATTACCAAAATGTTTTTCATTACAAACCTGATACTAAGAACGAAGCTAAAAGAGTGATCTTTACTATAGTAAAATGTTGAACGAGGATCTCTCTCTGCTCAAGAGAAAAAGTTCAATTTTTAAGCAAACAAAAGAAGAGTCTTTCTCTCTCTCTCTCTTCAGGCATTCGCTATGTATGTACGATTCTTTCAATCTACAAATAAATAAACAAACAAATAGAACTAGTTAAAACATTGTGAACTGATTAAAAAAAAGAAAAATACTGGCCATTATTTTTTCTCTAAACATATACTTTTAGACGAGAGACAGAGAAACATTTCTGATTGTGTCGGACGATACATACATACATACACGCGTCTCTTACTTGTCTTCTAACGTGTCTCGTCTATTCACAGAGAACAAGATATATAGTTTTAGAATTTTGATTTTGAATACGTTTTTTATTACCCAATAATTGAAATTGTCGATGAATTAATTCAATATATGGAAATGGATTAAATTTTTTATTTGACATTGTTTTTATNAGAACAAGATATATAGTTTTAGAATTTTGATTTTGAATGAATAAGAACTCTCTCTAATCAGATTAAAACTTGGCTAGTCAATGCATAAATACGAATAATGCCCAAAACAGTCAGTCGATGAATCGTTCTAAACGATATACATAATTCGTCATGAAACATTCCAGTAACATTAGAAATTAGCAAAAAACTTGTATGAAAAATCGGCATTCTGTTAAGAAAATAGCGTATCAAGTGAGAAAATGCTGAGATTATTCTAATTGATAGAGATAAAATTTTCAAATGGTGACTTAATAAAATGTTATGTTATTATTCGTATAAAGTACTTGTCTAAGTCATCTCGTCGAAATGTTATTAAAATCTTATAAGACTCTTATATTTTTTCATATAATACTCCTATCAATATTTTATCACGCATTTTCATCGGGTTGACTGTCCGTCTAGCTTGGTCGCTCAGCTAATGATCTAAGAGAAAATGAAAAATAATCATGTCGCTTGTTAACAAGTAGAAATATCTTAGCC